GCGGCAGGAGTAGGAGTAGGAGGAGTACCGGAGCTGTAGGCGCGTAGGGAGCGGCAGATGGAGAGGGCAAGGGAGTAGTAGTAGGAGTACCGGGCAAAGTCCGCCAGGGCGAGGGAGTAGTGGCCCAGGGCACGAAGGCCCTCGGCCACCTCGATGGCGTGGACATCGAAGAGCGCCCCCAGGTGTGCCCGCGCCCGCTGGTAGTACTCCTCGGCACGCTTGGGCTCCCCTCGAAACTGTGCCGCTGTGCGTGTCATGTGGTGCGTGTGGTGCGTGTGGTGGTGGTTGTGTCGTGTGCGTGTGGTGCGTGTGAGGCGTGTGTGCGTGCGTCGTGATGGGTGGTGGTAAGCACTCGATGGTGAGGGGATAGTTTGCTGCAGAGTCGTGTACCGAGGGCGAGCACGGCGAAGACGTTGAGCAGAAGCGGGTTGGCGCGGGCTTCGTCGTCCTCCTCCCCGCACGCCTGCTCACACAGCAATATATATACAGCAACACACAGCAACACACACACAGCAAACAACACACACACACACAGCGACACACACAGCAACACACACAGCGACACACACACACCACACCGAGCGACGACATAGGCACACAACGAAAGTCAGTCAGTGGGGGAGAGAGAGAGAGGGAGGAGGAGAGGAGGAGTAGAGGTGCACTCTAACGGGTGGCACGCACGAGGGCGAGGCGCAGGGAGTCGGAGCGGGTGGCGGCCGGGTGAGTGAGCAGCCAGGGCCACACGTGCTGGTCAAAGTCGCTGGCGAGCAGGGTCAGCTCGGCCAGCCCGCCCAGCCACGCCTCGGCCGGCCAGGGGCCAGCTGCCGGCTGCTCTCCTCGCACCCGCTTGCGTGAGAGGAGGCCTCCGCTATTCATGCTCGCACCACCGGCAGCACCACCAGAGTGGCCACGAGCTCTAGGGAGCGCGGCACGGGCCACAGCCAGCATTCGGTGGTGGCGCGTGCTTGCTTCGATGTCCTCTCTCCATCCCTCTCTTTCCTCTCCCGCTACTGCTGCGGCTCTGTTGGGGCGTAGCACGAGCGGTAGCGGAGCTTCTTCGGCTGCGACTGCTGAAGGAGGCGGCTGCTGCTGGCGCCTTCTTTTCTTTCCGTCGACGAGGGAGGAGGAGGGAGCCTCCTTGGGGAGACCTGGGCGGGCGGCAGGAGCGGGGGCGGGCACCACCAGCAGAGCCGTCTTGGCTTCCAGCTCTCGCGTGGTCCACGTCGCTGCCGCCACCAGCTGCTGCAGCAAGGCGGCAGAGCATTGTGTGGCCTCCGCCTCTTCAGAGGCCAGGCACCCCTCTTGCTCGTGGTGAGGCCAGGCGGCGCGCAGAGTTGCTCGTGCCTCCCCCATCTGGCCTTTTTTTTTCTTTTTCTGTACATCAACACTCGCAAAAGCAGCAAAAGAAAAATCACAAATAATGTGAAAAAATAATGAAAAAAAATAAATAGCCTTCGTTCTCCTTTCGCCACAAAAAGAGAAGCCGAGATGGATTTGTACATCACACCCCCTTTCCTCTTTTCTCCGGGTGCCGAGCACTAACTTGCGTTGGGGTGGATGACAGCGACTTCCTTATCAAGGTGGTGCTTGTAGGTGACGCGAGCGTCGGCAAATCGTACGACTCCCCCCCCCAGCGTTAGGACTGTGTTGGTTCGCTTTCTCAAGCACGTTTGCTGCTGCTGGTGGTCCATTGCCCGCAGGTCGTTGCTGCTTCGGTATGCAGACAACGTACATACACAAGACCCCTTCCCTTGTTTCGTGTGCTCGTGTGTAATGGCTGGCTGAGTGCGTGGTGGTCGCAGACGTACGTCGGGCAGAGCATGCCCACAATAGGGGTGGACTTCAAGATCAAGACCCTCACCGTGGACGGCCAAACGGTCAAGCTACAGATATGGTTGGTATACACCTACACGTGCCTCAACTCCACGCGCCTTTGTTGGCCTCACCTCACCGTCTTCTGGCAACCCACCCACCCCCAGGGACACAGCAGGCCAAGGTACATCGAGTCGTTCACCACCGCACTCCCTTCACCCGCCTGTTTCCCGTTGCTGTCCTCTCCCTGGCCTGCCGCATTGCTCACCCTCCTCCCGCACGTGTGCGCATACATGCCACGTACGCGTGTTGCGCACTCCTCGGCCCCATGACAGAGAAATTCCGGTGCGCCACGCGCCACCCAGCGATCATTCGAGTCCGCTATCTGTGCTGACATCGTGATTATCATTTTTCTTGCCATGCTACACGACACACGACACACGACACACGACACACGACACACGACACACGACACACACGCCAGGAACATCACGACTTCGTACTATCGGGGGTAAACTTCTCCAGCCCTGGGGCACCTGAAGGCGCGGCGCTAGTGGTACTCGTGCGCGTCTCTTTCAAGAACCTGTCCTCACACTGGAAGCGCTCCTCCACAGGGCCAACGGGATTATTCTCATCTATGACATCACCAGCGAACGAAGCTTTCAGAGCGTCAGCAGCTGGCTGCAGGAAGTCAACCGCTACCTAGGCCACAAGTCCGACGTGAGGAAGCTGCTGATTGGTACGCTGCTGCTCCCGCAACGTCCGCTGCCCTGGCCTCTCCTTTGCGTGCTTGCTTGCTTGCTTGCTGCCTCTCACGCGGCCCGGTCGTTGGTCAGGCAACAAGGCCGACCTCGAACACGAACGGCAGGTCTCCACGGAGCAGGGCAAGGTGGCCAAACTCTCCTCTACGCCAGCACAAAGGCGCCTTTGTACTCACACCAACTCTCATCTCTCTTTCTCTCTCTCGCTCTTCTCTCGCTGTCTGTTTATGCCAGGCCTTTGCAGAAGCGAATGGTCTCCCCTTCTTGGAGGCGAGCGCAAAGAAGGACATCAACGTGGAGCAGATGTTCCGCTCCCTGGCCGAGGCCGCCGTGAGGTACGAGAGCACGCCGGCCTCCTCCTCCCGTTGTGGTGGTGGTGGTGCACCACTGGCCATTGGACCAACGCAGTCGTATCGCGCAGGCGATCTTCATCCACGATGCCTCGCCTGGAGCCCGCTGCACGCACCGACGTCGTGCGCCTGCAGGCCGGAGATGCTGCCACCCACCAGACCGGACCTGGTGCCTCTTGCTCCTGTTAGCGCACCCCCCTTTTTTTTCCGTTTACCCTTTCCGTCCAATCATAAAGAAACAACAGGGCATGTTAAAAAAAAACAACCTGATAACAATAATAATCATGCTAAAAGCAGCAACAGCACATCACCTCATGGACCACCAAGACCAGCGCCAACAACAACAACACCAGCAGCAGCAGCAGCAGAGGGAGGAGCTGAAGGAGGGCGGCAATGTCCCGGCATCGCTCCTGCTGCACACGGGCAACGTGCTACAGGTCCTGCCCGCCCTCGCCCCCCACGCCTCGCCTCGAACCGAGGTGCCTACGAGCTGCCCATGCCTCCCCCCCAATCTATCACCCAATCTTCCTCTCTGTCGTGCTGCCAGGCACCTGTGCAGCTAACTTGTATACAACCGGCTGCTGCGCTGCGGGTGTGGTGCTGTGGTGCTAGCAGCTGCTGCGCATGTGCGAGGTGGCGCTCTACCGGAGCCAGCAGGGAGCCCTTGAGGACCGCCGCGCCTTTGCCATAGGCGCGCAGCACCAGGACGTCAAGCTCACCGTCAAGCTGTTCCTGGGGGAGGGCGCTGGTGCCAGCCAAGCACAGGCCCAAGTGCGGGAGGCCGTCGCTGCGCTGCTCCGGTGCGTGTGCCTGACCACACGACACGTGGGTCTTCGCGGTGCATGCACGGTCGTCCAGTTCTCACTCTGTCTCACTCGCGTGCATTGGCCCCCACGCCCCCCCCCCCCCCACGTGTGTAGACATCTGGAGGTGGAGTTCGTCGACACGCTCCTGCTGGCGCCGCCTCCCTCCTTCACCTCCTCGTCCTCTTCCTCGTCCTCGCTGCTGCGGGTCTCACCGGAGGCGGCCGTTGACGAGCTGCTCCTGCCCGCGTGGCGGGTGCTTGCCCCCCCCCCTCCTGTGCATGCACCAGTCCCCATAGCAGTACCTGCTGCTGGCTGCTGCTCAACACCCTCCTCCCCCCCGACAGGCGCTCGAAGAACTGGTGGCGGACGGCCGCCTGCGCACGCTTGGCACCTGCGGCCTTCAGCAGGCAGCGCTGGCTCACTTACACGCCCTCGCCACGGTAGCCACCCTCCTCCCCCCCCCACAAACAAAGATCTTAGGGTGAAGGAATGCCGATAATGGGTGGTGGGAATGGGGCGGCCATACTAACAGAACGCTCTTTCTCTCTCGCCCGTGCGGACACAGGTCAAGCCACGCACCAATCAAATCTACACGAACGAGCTCACCACGGAGACACGGACCCTGCTCGCTTTTGCCAAAAGCCACCACATGTCGCTGCTCGCTCTACCCGAAGACGCCCACCTTTGTACGATACGCTCTCACTTGGGCAAGCACAGCTCTTGACGTTCGCTTCCACTCATCCCCGTGAGATGCGCCCTGTATGGTGGGGATCAGCGGTCGGGGACATCAACGTGGACAGCCTGCGCGCCAAGTACCCCTCCTCGCTGGGCAAGGACGGCCACTGGCGAGTAGATTGGCTGGCCCGCTACTGCGGCGCCTACAAGTGCCGGACCGCCCTTGCGAGGAAAGGGTAATCACACACGACACACACGACACACACACACACGGCCTACATCTCTCGTGCCAGCGATCGCTGACAACCAAGTGCTCGTGTGTGTGCTGGCAGGTACTTCGTCCAGTGCCGCAACCAGAAGTAAAGCTTGAATTTGGGTCGACCATGGAACTTCAAAGTGAATTCGAGGAATGTGCTCTTCTGGCGCCATTTTTCGATTGCGAAAAAGAACAAAACAAACCAGAGATGAAGAGATGCTGCCTCACGGCCACCGAGCACATGTGCGTGCCTACGCAATGGTTCGTTGTGGATGCGACTGGCAACCATCGCTACGTGGATCTTATTAAACAGACCAAAGGTCCTAATCGCAATCCCACATTTGCCCAATTCGAATTTGCCTGCTTGCCGCCCGAGGTAAGGCCGGATCTGAAGAAGAGGTGGTGATGGGCGCAGGCGCGTTTGGCAGCGTCGACTACATACGCGTGCCCTGGTTTCTTGACGATGAAAACGACGTCGATGAGGCAGACGACAACCTCGCTTCCGGGCCGCGGTCCATCTACGCACGCGCACACAAGATGACGGAGACGGAGCTCAAGCAGCAGTTGGTGCAGATGCGGCCGGTCATACTGGAGCACCTGCACGCCACGTTCAACCAGAGGAGGAGGGGAGGCCCGACCCTCCCGGGCGGGGGCGCCGGGACGAGGGGCCGGCTGGTGGTGTTTGTCGTGGGCGACCTGGCCAACCCGCTCAGCCGTCTCCTCCTGGAGGAGCTGCCTCTCGACCTCACCGCCTTCATCCACTGGAAGCTCGGCCTTCACCCCGCCCTCGTGCGCTGCGCCCTTGGCGGCGGTGCCCTCCCCCAGGACCGAAACAGGTGCGATGACTGCCAACCCCTCTACTCTCTCTCTCTCTCTCTTTCTCTCCTCCTCCTCCCGCATGTGCGCTCTCGCGTGCATCACGTTTGTGCCATACTTGTGTGGTGGTGGTGGTGGTGGTGGTGGTGGTGGTGGTGGTGGTGGTGGTGGTGGTGGTGGTGGTCGTGGCGTTTGCCGTTGTGCGCTCACCGGTTGGCGGATGCGCCTTTGTGAGCACAGCTTCCTGGCGGGCATGGAGCGCCAGTACTTCAATGCCGAGGAGCGGTTGGCGCGCACTCCGGCACATGTTCGCGCGTGGCGCACCAACGACTTCGACACCTGCATTCTCGGAGAGTGCGAGGACCGATTCAAAGGCAAGCCAATTCTCTCTCTCTCACTCACTCACTTGTGGCTGGTTGCGCACGCACGCACGCACGCACGCACGCACGCACGCGGCACCGGAGTCATCTGCTTACTGCCGCCACGTGGCCTTGCCTACGTACAGAAGTAATGGCGCGCCTTCTTGCGCTGCACGTGGCTGACATGCAAATCATCGGGCAGCAGGTCTCGCGTCAGCATCTCGCCCCCGGTGGTAATAACACACGACACACCACACGACACACACCACACCACACACACACACACCTCACACACCACCACACACACACAACACGACACACCACACACACACGCACACACCACACACAACACACACCACACACACACACACACACACCACACACACACACACACACACACACACCACACACACCACACACACCACACACACCACACACACCACACACGACACACCACACACGACACACCACACACACACACACACACACACACACCACATACACACACACATCACAATTTGTTTCTCTTCTCCTGCCTTCGTCTCGTGCACGCGCGTTGGTCACCACCGATGGTGGGGACGGGGCCGCAGAGGTGCTGGTGATGGACCCGACGTACCGCTGGCGGCGTGTGAATTGGTTTGCCCTGGCACAACCCGACGTGGTGCCGCGGCTTTGGCGCTTCACGAACGACCCCGGCTCCGACGAGTCCGAGGCTCTGCTGGACCTGCTGGACGGGACCCGGAAGATTGCGCAGGGCGGCGGCGGCCTCCAGCTCAGGCGAGAAGCCAACTGGCAGCACCTGGGCCTCGTGGAAGAAGGTGCGTGCCGCCTCTTCTCCTGACATTCTACAAGATTTTTGCTGTTCGAGGCGCGCGTTGCGTTGCGTTGCGAGTTGACCACAACCACCAACGTGGTGGGCAGTCTACACCAGGCCCTACACGCTCTGCGAAGAGGACGAGTACAGGGTCACGGCGGGGGACGAGCGTACGCGCAGGGAGCTGATCCACTACCTCCAGAAGACGAAGCTCTACGAGGAGAGCCTGCTCCAGATCCGCAAGGTGCGGGAGCAGTGGGCCATCACCACCCGCGACCACGCCGACGACGCTACGACGGCCGCAGACCAGCAGGTGGCCGCCTCTGCCGCCTCTCCTGCTCGCCTGCGCAAGACCGTTTCGGCGGCGTCCCTCCACCTGTACTCGTCGTCGTCGTCGTCGGCCAACCCTCTGCTGGCCCCCGACCGAGCGCGCGAGGAGCAGGCGCCGCAACTGCCCATCATCTACCTTAAGCTCGAGGGGATGGCCCTCCTGCAGCTCGCCCGCGAGGAAGAGTCGCGCGCCCTCCTGCAGCAGTACATCGGCATCCTCCTGCGCCGGGAGGTGCGCACAGCCCCCACCACCCCCGTCCCAACCCTCCTCCCCGCCCCCGACTCCCGCATTACGGGCGAGCGCGACTGACGCACGCACGCACGCACGCACGTTCTTTTCCTTCTCCTCTCTCTCTCTTGTTTATTGGTTTGGTTGGTTTGGTTTTGATGGCTGCAGGAGACGGAGGGGCAGCTGTCGCTGGCCCACAGCCACGAGATCGCCACCCTCGCCCTCTACGAAAAGGACCTGCCGCTCGCGCGCAAGTACGCCCTCAAGGCCATCCACGCCGACAAGACCCACATCCCCTCCTACAAGGTACGTAGTACGACACGCGCACAACTGCCGTGTGGTGTGCGCGTTACACAAATAAATGTCGCCCGCGCTCCCGCACTCACGGCGCGGGGCGCGGGGTACTTTCTGTGCGGCGTCACGCTCGGCAGACGCTGGTGCGGGTCATCCAGCAAACCGGGGAGAGCACGCACGCGGAGGAGGAACTGGCGTTCTCCTTCTTCGTGCAGCTGCTGCACGACAGCCGGCAGGCGGAGGACTACTACCGCTACATGCAGGAGCACTGGCCCCGGGCCTACTTTGCGCTGGCCTACCAGGGCCTCTTCCTCTCCGAGGTCAAGGCCAAGCTCGCCGGCAAGCCCCAGGACCGCGACATCTGCCTCCGCGAGGCCGAGCACGCCTTCCGCCAGGCCGCGCGCATCCTCGCCGCCAAGGGTATCTCTCCCGCGAGGCAGCACACCCACCGCGCACACGTCGACGCTCCACACACACACACACACACACAACACACGCGCTCCTCACTCATTCTCTCTCTCACACACACACGACCGCAGACAAGCTGGATGCCAAGGACGGGTGGATCCTGGGCAGCTTCGCCACGTTCCTCTTCCAGCACCGGTACGCGCCCGGCGAGCTCGGTCGTGAGGCCACCCTCGAGATCGAGAACCTCTACTGGCGCGCTCTCAGCGCAGATGCCGGTACGCCCTCCCACCGCCAACGATGACGATGACGGCGGGCTGCAACGGTTGGCTCACTTCACTCCACCATCTGCTGCTGCTGCCAGACAATTTGGTGTGGCACGCCAACTTGAGCGGCTTCCTCCTCTCCTGTGGGCGGAGGCGCGAAGGCCTCGACATGCTCGACGAGCAGGTCATCCCTCGCCTTTCCGCCGAGGAGGACAAGGTGCGCACACGTCCCCCAAAACACGCGACGTGCAAGCTCAGCAGTTCATTTCTATGTACACACGTTTTCATGTCCGCAACAACATGTTTTCATGTCAAGGACTCGGCCTTGGGGCTGGAGGCCTGGTTCTACGTACTCTGCTATGCTCCGGAGCGGCGGGGCGAGGCCATCGACCACCTGCGCGGCTACCTCAACGCCGGCGCCCGTTCCCACGGCTGGTACCCCACACCACCCACCGCTGCCTCTCCCTCTCTCCCTCTTCCTCTGTCGTGTGTCGTGTGTGTCGTGTGTTTATGGATCTGACCCGCCCCCGTCCGTGGCTCGTCTCGTCGGCAGGGACCTCGCCCTGCACGTGGAGCACGCCAAACGCGAAGGCGACCACGAGGCTGTCTGGCTGGANCGC